AAAAATAGTCCACAAGAAGCTGCAATAGCCAGATTTTTAAGATTAATTCCCAAAGGAAAAAGAACACACCGTAAAGGGCCGGTCCATTACGGTGGAGCGAGTGACATGCTTGCTTCATTCACTAGTGTTGGAGCAGAAGAACACAACCTGCATTCTCTCAGAAGTCAGAAAATGCCAGAAGATGATGAAACCACTTTTAATAACTTCAATATGAAGGGGAAAAAGCGTTCTGCCCTCTCTCTACTTTCTTTAGAACATAATTCTGATGAAAGTTTATCAAGACAGAATTGTAATGAACAAATTACAGGTATTGTTACAAACAGTGATTCTGCAGTCACAAGCACTAGAATATCTGCTTCAAACTTGGATAGATCCAAGACTGTCCAAACTGGCCAGCTAGATTATATGAATTCTACATTGGTTATCAATGGCTTAGAGAACTATAGTTTTGGAATATTGCAGAAAAAGAGTGTTGAATCCTCTGGTACTGAATGTAATACTAGGGTTAGTTGTAGAGAAAGTCTGAATGAGGCATCATTCAACAAGATGCCTTACGTATATCACAGAAGACATTGCAACAAAAACCTACCAAAACCATCACTTTTGAAAGAGCTTAATGGATTAGGTGTTCCTGAGTCAATATCTGATTTTACACGAAAAGGTTTCAGAACACGAAGAGAAGTGGCCTTTGTTCGAGTCTTGTTTAGCCAGCATTTGGATGATGACATAATCAAGCAGCAGAAAAAGGTTTCTTTTCTTGTATTTTTGTTTCTAGTTCACCAGACGACTTATGAGTCTTGATTGTAATATTCTTTGATATGCTTACAACTAGCTTTTAATTTCTACAGATCTCTGCACGGCTGGGTATTTCTATGACATCATGCTCTATGGATGCCACACATTTTGTAGCAGATGAATTTGTGCGTACAAAAAACATGTTGGAAGCCATTGCTCTTGGCAAACCAGTGGTGACGCATCTATGGCTTGATAGCTGTGGACAAGCAAGTTGCTTACTTGACGAGAAAAATTACATCCTGAGGGACTCCAAAAGGGAAAAGGAAATTGGCTTTAGCATGCCTGTTTCATTGGCTCGTGCAAGACAGTATCCACTTCTAAAGGTGGTTGTCTGAGGCTATGAGATTTATTTCTAACCAGATATCTCTTTTGGTTGTGATGAACTTGTACCTGAAATTTCTCACATTACTGAACATCTTGTATGCTGATATCTGTTATCTCTCGACAGGATAGAAGAGTATGTATCACCCAAAATGTTAAACCTAATAAAGAGATGATTACTAGCTTGGTCAGAGCAGTTGGAGGTGAGGTACGTGTATCTACCTTCATATCATCAGTAATCTACTTTAGTCATTACTGATGTTTGAATCTGGTTGATATTACTTCATCCGTTTTCCTTTCACCTTTTCTTATGTCTTAAGATGTGACAATCATTTATATATATCATTTTCCTCTATCATAAAGTAATGACCTCCTGAAAATTGCTCCTCAGGTAGTGGGAACAAGTCAGAAATTGGCAGCAAAAGATCAAAAGATTCCAGATGATCTCTTGATTCTTTCTTGTGGAGAAGATCTAGCAATCTGTGCACCCCTACTTGATAAAGGTTGTACATTGATATTTCTTCTTTTCGTTCAAAATGATCACTCAGCTTTCTGGTAATTGAAAAAGTCTACTTTAACTGCAGGAGCAGCAGTCTATAGTTCAGAGCTTCTGCTGAGCGGGATTGTCATCCAAAAATTGGAATATGAGAGGTAAATTTTATGAAATTTATTGTGAAATAGTATACTTGATTTTGCACCATCTAGGTTGTACTTGTTAACATTGGGTTGAAGAACCAGCAAGTTCTAAAATATGCTGTTTGCTTAGCATACTGCATACTTGATTTGTGGTGGGTCCAGGGCATCATTATGCTCTTTGCTTAGCATAGCATTTCAATTCTTCGTCACGTGAGGAAGATTATCCCAATTCTCCCAAATGCAAGTCATATGAGCTTCTAATTTGGAGCCAGTAACAAGGCACTTCAGAAGTGCAGCGATATCAGTTTCCCAGGAAAAAACTGACCTGCTGATAATAGTATAATCATCTTGCAACTCTCCTTTAGGTGTCTGTAGACGGTATAAGGACCCTTGAGAAAATCGTGAAGACCAGTTAGCAGAGACTGACTAATACTCGGTGAACCAATCCATAGAAAAGAAATTGGAAGAAAAATTACAGAACCCTTAGGCATCGGATTTTTCCCTGTTTTGGTTATCATATTCTATTTTCCGATGGAAAATGAAGAAAGGGTATTGCTTTCTTCGTCTAATGCTGCATTTTCCACTGACAGGCACCAACTCTTCGTCAAGTTTGTAAAAGAAAAAAGAAAGATCTCAGAGGGGAACAGACACAGCAGAAGGTTAAGCAAACGCTAATCTTTCTAATCACATAAAAGTATAATTAGAATTAGTCGTATATTTTGTATGAAGCTCTCTTCTACCAGATTACAATGGCCACTATAAAGGGGAGAGATGGGCCACGTCGATTATAAAACTCTTGCTGACTTCTTAATGGCTATCACATGATATACATATATATACATCTATATGCATATATATGAATATATATTTTGTAAAGTGGTACCTATTACTAAATACTTAGGATACAGGGTGTATTTTGTCTCCAATTCTAATTTTCACCCTAATCTTCACCATCAAATATCTTTGCAAATGAAGGCTGCTGTTAATCTAGCGGATATGTAATGGCCACCGCAGTTTTTTTAATGTGATTTTTTAGCTCCAAATACAGGAGTAGAGCCCTAAGAGAGACGGGAAAAAGGGGTGTTTGAAGCGTAGGTAAACCAGTGATCGCAAGCTCTTAACTAGAAGCTCAAATCCACAATGCACCGAAACTCGTTGCCTTCTGGCGAAAACTGGTGAAGCTATCAGTACAACATGTAAAACTGGGCTGCGTAAATTACGCATCATCAAAAGGCAGCTACTAATATTTCATTGGCTAAATATTCAAATAAAATTTTGAATTATATTAAAAAAAGTTAATTTAGTTTTTTTATTATATTTAAATAAATATAAATTTTTATTTTAATTAAATAAATTTTTTTATTAACTATTGATTAATTTTTATTAATAATTTTTTATGTCACATTACTTATCATGTGAAATGTTGATATATCATGTTGATAATATCAATGTCATACGACATGTGATATGACATTAAAAATTACTAACCCGAAATTAGATTTTATATTTTTTTCAAATATTCAAAAATTATTAGTTAGAAATTTAAAAAAAAAATTAAAAAAAATTAATTGTTTCTTATTCGATTGCGATCTTTTTAATTGTAGCAATCCTTCTTAATTAAAAAAAAATGTAATCTAACTTTTTTAATTCAATTGAAGTCATTGTTGTTCAACTAAAAGTTAATGTAATGAAATTTAAGAATACCAAAAAATGATTTTAAAAAGAGAAAAAGTAAAAGTAGAATACATAACGGTTATAATATTAAAATTGACAAAAACACATAGTGTTATTCCACAAAAAGAAAGTCAAATCTTTCTCTTCTTTTCTCAAGAATTTGTAAGACAATTTGGTGCTCTTCTCTTCTCTAAAATCTCAAAGGGAGATATTGAATTTTATTTATTAACAATAATAAATCCTCTTTTTACATCTTTTACAATTTTTGAAATTTCAAAACTACTTAAAAATCAATTTTTAAAAGAGAAATAGGAATTGTAGACAGGGAGATAATATTTTCGCCATAAGGTATATTGTATTTAGAGAATATTTAAGAAAGTGAAGGATTTTTTTTTTGTTAAGAATTAAAGTTTTAATTAAGAAAATGATAATCAGTTTGAAACAATTAGTTTTTTTTTTTAAATTTTTTGTTTTAAATTTTTATAATTAATAATTTTTAGACATTTAGATGGGTAAAAAAAAAAAATCTCAATTCTCAATTAGTAATTTTTTATAACAAGTCATCTACCACGTGGTATATTTACACAACACAAATTATTTATTTTTTTTTATTTTTCTATTTTACTTCTTTTTTTTCTATTTTAGAATTATTTTTCTTTTTCTTTTTTGTCTAGAATTATTTAAAAAAAGATTATCACCACCATGACATGAATTTAGTTATCCATGAATATGAAAGCATATCAAGCATAGTTTACGAGGTTTAATATAAAAATCTAATGTTAATTTTTCATTTTGTTTTATATCTATTTAAATTAATAAATCTAAAAACTTATATTTAAATTTTTAATAAAATTTTATGTTATAATTTAATTTTTTATTTCGAATTGAATCATTAACCTAATCTATAACCTTAATTGCTCTTTAACTACTCATACAAAATTCATAAGCCATTACTTAAGTACTCTCATAATATTATTATACACCATTAACAATCATAAAGTTTCTCTTATGTAAAATTCTTATCCTTTAGAATTATCTTAAAATTTAATGGCTGGTGATGTCATTTATTTGGAAGGCAGAACAATTTAATTTGTAAATGTAATTGGTGTTAGGAGTGTGCAAACAATTATTTCGGTTAATTCAATTTTAGATATCTAATAACTGAACTAACTGAATTTGTATTTAAAAATAATCAAAACCGAGTCAAACTTTACAAATAACCAATCTAACTGAAGCTAAATTAATTCTGTTAGTTCCGTTCAATTTTCAAAAATCAAACTTGAGAAAAAATTTTTATTTGTATATATTTATTTGTCATATTTTTTTAATAAATTAATATTACAAAATATTAAAAATAATAATAATAAATTATAATAAATAAGATAAATACTTATATAAACAACAACAAATAATTAAAAATATAAATAAAAACAATAATAAAAATTTTTGAGCAAATAATTTTAATTCAGTTAGTTCGATTAGAAAAATACCTAATTAAAACTGAATCGAATTAATTTTAATAATTAAATTATTTTAATCAAATTATTTAAAAAATCAAACTAATCAAACTAAAAAATTAAACTCATTTCTATTCGATTCAATTATACGATTTGAATTGCATTTACACGGCCCTAATTGGTGATGCTTTTACCAACTCTTTCCGAAACACAGCACATCCTATTATCCAATTTGCCTCGCGCTTGTATCCTTTGCCTCACATGCTGCAGCCAGCGGCTACCAATCAAATTTTAGTACTACTACACCATTTTTTTCTTTTTTAATACATACCCCATAAGCTCCTAGAAGACGGCGCCGTTTTCTGCTGACCATTTTAAGACAAGTCCTCCATAACTGATGCCTCCCCAACAATGGAAACGCCTATCATCACGCGCTCCTTTTCCTTGAAAAACAAAACGGTCGGAAGGAAGTGAAAGAACACGGGAGGAAGGGTAGCAGATGGAAGGCAATTCGGCTTCTCGAAATTCGTCGTTTTCAGGTCCGTTTCACATCTCCTTGGATCTTTCTCTTCTGTTTGGTTAGCAAGCAAACTAAAAGAAAGTAAAGGAAAATGCTAATGATAAGTAACTTTTAATGTTCTTTCCTTTTCGGTTGATTTTTTAATTTTATTTTCCATGGCAGGGACCGTTAAACGTAACGAGAAGCAGAATTGGGCAACGTCGCCGTCGGGTGCTCTTTACCACTTTGGTACAAGTGGTTTTTCTGTTGCAGTTGCCACCGGCCTTACGCATCCTCTAGGTTCGCTTTTTCTTTTTCCTCTGTTTTTTCCTTATTTTTATTTACTTGATTAATCTCAAAAATGTTGTATGTCCTTTTCGCTATTAATCACTTAAATATTGTATAATTGCCTTAGTTTGAAGATTAATGGTATTATTTAGAAAAGCTGATGAATTAATCAAATCTGGTTCTTCGTGGATTGCACGCCTCAAAGTTAATAATATTGTCTAAGTGAAAATTTTAAAATTGATGGAATTTTTGTTTAATTATGAGGGGAATGCCATTTTTATAGGGAGAAGTTTCTTATTTGCATTTCAAGCATGGTTTCAATGCTAGTGTACTCTGCTATATCTTTTTAATTTTACTTTAATGATAGTAAAAAGATGGTTTCTTTTTTTTTTCTTTTTTTTTACAGTGATTGAGAATGATCAATAGACATAAAACCTTGAAGTTAAAGGCTTTCTTTTTCAAGTACATGTTTCAAACATGAGTTGATTGGTCATGAAAAATGTTATAATTTTGAGAGGAATTAAATTGAAATGCTTCAATTAAAACACAAACTCACAAAAATACACAAAAAGGTGTATGGAAAGAAATTTTTTTAAGTAGAATCATATTGGCCTTGTTGAATGTATTGCTAACTCATTTATCTATGCTCATCGTGCAGATGTGCTTAAAGTTAGGCTGCAAATGCAGCTCATTGGTCAGAGGGGTCCTTTGATTGGAATGGTATTTTACCAATGCTGTCAGTTTACTTTGATGATAATGATTTCTGGTTATCTGATTTTATTGATTAGAAATTCATTATTTTTATGGATATAAATAGGGACCATTATTTGTTCAAGTTTTGAAAAATGAAGGACCAAAGTCTCTATATCTGGGATTGACACCTGCGTTGACCAGGTCTCTTCTATACGGAGGTCTCCGTTTAGGCTTGTATGAACCATCAAAATATGCCTGTGATTGGGCCTTTGATTCCACCAACATTTTGGTTAAGATTGTATCTGGAGCATTTGCTGGTAGCATTTCAACTGCCCTGACCAATCCTGTGGAAGTTCTGAAGGTAGTGTTACAACATTTTTATTCTGATCTTCGAAGTTCATTTTGGGATTAAGAAACAGTAGTTTTCTGCTATCAGGTGCGGTTACAGATGAACTCAGATATGAGACAAAGAGGGCCAATTGCAGAACTGCACAAAATTGTCTCCAAAGAAGGAATAGGTGCTCTTTGGAAGGGTGTTGGCCCTGCTACAGCTAGAGCTGCTGCTTTGACTGCTTCACAGCTTGCAACATATGATGAATCCAAGCGGGTCAATTTCTAAGCATGCTGTTTTTCAGTTTGAGTATCCACGAAGTAATTTCCAAAGATTTTGGATGATTAATTTCGTGTTTGATTTATCATCTATCTAGAGTGTCTGTTGTCATTGTTTTTTTCACTTTTCCTTTTTCTCGCATTTTCTAAGTTTTTAAAAATTCTATTAATGCAGATATTGATGAAATGGACACCTCTTGAAGAAGGATTTTATCTGCATCTCAGGTATGACACTGCTAGTACTTTTTATTTCTGTCTTCTTTGTCCTTGTTGTAGATGTTAAATAAAGGAATATGTATTAAGATATTCTCCAAAATTTTGACCTTATTACATTAGTCATTAAAGTTGACAGGTTATGTATGAAATTGAAAATTATAGAAAAAAGTAAACATGCAGAAATAGGAGTTTTTTGTGGGAGAGATAAATATAAGGACATAATTTAACTCACACAAATTTTTTGTTTGAGGGCAAAGAAGAACGGTTTAAATGTGGTATTTCCAATATGTGCTTAATATTTTAGAATGTACCATTATATTTGTGAAAGCTTTTCTTTCTGACTCTATTTATTTCTTGATTTTTGCATCTCTTGAAGCTCAAGTACAATTGCTGGCTTGGTGAGCACCCTAATAACGGCACCCATTGACATGGTTAAAACCCGTCTTATGTTGCAACGTGAAAGAGCTGGAAGCTATAAAAATGGATTTCATTGTGCATATCAGGTATTGAATTTATTTTTATTTTTGGTGCCTTTTTATTTATTTTGCTATTAGTTGTTCATTTTATTTCCTCAAGTTTTTCTTTTTGCACTTTTATTGTGCCTTTTACTTTTCATTACTTTCCTTTGATGCCATGGATTAAAACATGTTTTTGTGCTTGGTAGAGCTATGTATCATGGATGTTGGAAAATGACAGTTGCCTTCAGTATTCCAAAAGAACAAGATCCCTAATGCCCTTCTGCTCTTCTTCTTCTTCTAATATGCTTAGGTCTCTTCAAATTTACTTAGTTTGGCTCCTATTATCCAGAATTTGTGCTTTATTGTGTTGAAGATTTCCTCAACTGCTACACCACAAAGTTTGGTCCTTTATTGTTCACAAAGTTTTCTGCTATTTTATTTACACATTTTTGAGCTATATGCTAACGCACTGGGGCTTGCCTGGCATCTAGTAGTTTTAATTTTAACCATTACAACTGAAGTTGGACTGTTTGGCACTGCTGAGAGCTTCTACCAAAGACAAAAGAGAATTGTTACGAATCAGCATGTTGTTGTCTTGGGCCCTTATCTTTTTTGGGGTGGGGGAGGTTAAGGTTATAGAATTTAACCTCATTTTAGATGTTGGTTGATATGGCCACCACAGGTTTGACAGAAAAAATTTTCAGTCATACTATGTCTTACACTTTTGTTAACACTTATAACATGTGGCAGACCTTCCACCTAGGTATACACAACAACACTGATTTTCTTTCCAATATATTTGCATTTATGGTTTCAGGTTCTGCGTACAGAAGGCCCCAGAGGACTTTATAAAGGGTGAGATTGTACATAAGTTTCCATTCTTTCTTTCTTTTTTCTTTTTTGATGCACAGATTAAGTTTGTGGACAATGAACATACCAGTCTCATCGAGATTTATCTTTGCATTCTGATATTCAATTTTAATTTAGAAGTTCTTCTTGCTTGGATATATTTGAGAGGATGCAATAATAATAGAACAACTGTAAATATTGTTAATTCATCTTTTTTTTTTCCAATTGGTGTTAACATTCCGATTTCTCAATGTTGGTCTGTAAATTCTCATCAGGGGCTTCGCCATTTTTGCAAGATTGGGTCCACAAACTACAATTACCTTTATACTCTGCGAGAAGCTGCGCAAGCTTGTGGGATTGAATGCAATCTAGTGGTAGGATAGTTTATCTGCGGTTACAAAATTAGCTGTCTATATATAGTATATGGAGATGCGACACAGCTGCCTTGGTTGCCAGCAAGGCCCGATTGGAAGGAAATAATTTTAAATAAATTTGTATTCATTCTTTTGGTGATTAGATCACCACTCAATTATAGGGAACCAGAATTGAATTTCGCACCCATTAAACTTAGCTAGACTTTGTCATTTAAAAGATGGTCCATTTATTTGATGGAGGAGTTGCAGCATTACTCATTGTTTTCCCATCATTTTTTTAATGTTGTGGGGTTTGTCTGTATATCATGAAATCAAATTTGTTCTTGCTGTGAATTATTATCTAACGTGTTATGTTTTATTATAATATTTCCAATAAAAGGGTTACTTATGGTTGTGGTAATTGATGAGGATTGGGTAATCTTGTGTGCACATTTGTCATGTTGATGTTTAGCCTTGTCTTTTTGGTTTCTGAACAGTTAAGGTCTTTTACAAGGAAATGATTAATAAATTTATGATTATCATTCAAAGTGAATCACCGGGCTGCACTCGGGTGGCACGCCTGTCAGGGTGGAGCGGAAACCAGATTTGTTGGTGCATGTTTGACTGGCCGTCTGTTGATTAAAAGGTTTGGTACAACTAACTCTCAATTGACTTTTGGAGAGAGTTTCTTAAGGTATCATACACCCATTTTTCTTATGAAACTTATGATTGTGCCCAATCTTATTTATCATAAATTTTCTTTATTGTTACTACTTGTTTGTCATATCAGTTCCCCACTTTTCACATCCCCCCTATGATTATTGCTCAATATGATGCTGCCACTTGCAAAATCCTGGATGCACCCACCCTACCTCCAGCCCCACTGCTTCGTCAGCACCTATCTTTGTTCTGTTCTATCCAAAACTTATTAATACTTAATTAACCCAAGAAATGGGTTTTACCTTCGGTTGTGTTCTGCTATACAGTTTTACAAATTTAATGGCCC